ATTGACGGAATCGGTGTCGGAATTGGATACGACTAGGGTTAGGGCTTTTGTTTGGGATAGCTTTCTTTTCCCCCCCTTTTCTCAGCGCAGTCCCTGATCCTCAGTCCCGATTCTATTGTCAGTGCTTTGTACACTGCCTGAGCGCGTGGATATGTTTCGAAGCGAGCATACTTGGTTTGCGAAATGTACATAAATACCATAACGAACTCAGAACACTCAAACGTCGCCGTTCTAAATCACGTTCACCGCTTGGACTTTTTTCTTTTTCAAATTAAAACATAATTAATAAACTAACTGGATAAAAAAGAACAATAATCAGAGGAATATACCCTTTCAAAGAAAATGCTTAAATGCTCATTTTAACTAAATTGTGGGCAAGCTCGTTAATTTATACAGTGGCCTATAAATCAAAATAGTAACTAAAATAGTCTGTTAAGTAAACCATAAGAATTATTCATCGCTAATTACTAAAGTAGTTTAATTGTTGCATCGCATTAGAATTGACAAAATTTTTGTGCTTATTTTAAAACGTTGTTGTCTATCTTATTATTTTTTTATTTAAAGCAAAGTGTTGCAAGGGTTATCTTGTAAAATCTATTTATCTCATGAGTCAAGTAAAAAGATGAATTTAATTTTACGTAAAAAAATTTTATTATAAATTTCAAATGAGTCAGTAATTAAAGATATATTTAAAAATATGTTTTTTTTTTAATCATTTAAAATTAAGATTAGATTTTTTTATGTTGCATAGTCAAAATGAACTTTAAGTATTTTTTAAATTAATAAAAATTGTAAGATGCTAAATTTAAGACTCTATTATGACTCAATTATAATATGACATTTGAGGAAAAATAAAAAATAAACACAAGATTCTATGGCCTGATTATGAAGTAAGCATGTGGAGTTTGCTTCTTCTTATGTCTCAATTAGACTAGGGAGAGATTTTTATGTAAAATTCTCAACCAAAAAATTTTATATTTTGTCTAAACATTAATTTTGTAAAACAAATTCGAATTAAAAGAAGTGTTAAAACTAAAACCTAATTGTTGACTTTAGTTTGAATTTCATAGGTTAAATGGACTTTACAGTCCCTCTGACGAATAGGAATCCAAGCCCACCAATCGGCTATCACAATGGAAAAAGTTTGATATTTAAAATTTATGGTACCGTATTTGATTTAAAGATGTGAGATAAGTTGTGTAAATCTCAGTAATATTCATTACGGTAAATAAGCTGTCTAACCATTAAATATTTTAAATATTTTAAAATTTTTGATATGAAATTATGGATTGTAGGAATATAGAGATCCTCCTAGATTTTGACAGTTTAGCCATTTTTTATTAGTTTGCAAGTGGCCATTAAAACAAATGATCAAGTCTTGAGAATGTCTTTCTAAAACCAAGAGGTTTGTTATTTTTGTTTTATGAAAAATAGTTAGTTTGAAGTAATGTGTTCACTTTTAATGAGATCAACCCACAGTTTATTTTTTAAAATAAACTTTATCAACCCTAGCAAAATTGAAATCCTTTAGTTAACTAAAGGTAAAACGTCTTAAGGATTTAGCCTTATAAATAACGGACCAACTTATTGAAATAAAATTTATGCTTCTGGGTGTAATTGAAATTCCATCAAAACCTTCTAACTAGTCCATCTAGTTCTTCATATAGACTTGATTGTAAAGTAAAAATAGATATACTAGAGATATAAATAATATTTAGTATAAATTAAAAGAAGAGTTTTTCTAACTCTGAATAATAGTAATATATTTTTCTACCAGCCAGTTTGATTTTTACATTTTCAATAATTGATTGAAAATAACATTTAGAACATCTTTTACTCGACAATGAAAGTACTAAATATAATTAAATTAGGATTATATTAAACTAATATAAACTTGTTCAATTTAATCTAAAATTAAATTACTAAGATTTAGTATTTAAATTAAATAATATCTAAAAATATATATAAAATTCTGATCCAACATATTTTTCTAAGACTTATAAAATAAACTATAAACTATCACATAATGTCATTTTGACAAATATCAAATTTTGTATGTCATTGTAGCTTAAGAATCATATCAACAAGATGTTGGATGTCATTAAAAGTGTACACTCGTTTATATCATTAAGAAAGTCAGATATATATATATATATCTCTATATTTATATCTTTATGTATATACATATACATGCATGGAGTAACTTGATATTAATAATTTAGTACGACAATATACACACAATTTCAGTACGTTGATACAAGGAGAGAACATAGAATGCAAAAAGAACAATGTGATCAAAAACTAATGGTGCCCGAAAACACTAATCTGCTTGTGAAATTTCATATGCAATCCATTGGGAAACACC